CTTCTTCTTCCTTCTTCTTCCTTCTTCCTTCTTCTTCCTTCTTCTTCCTTCTTCTTCTTCTTCCCTCAACCGTTCCCAGCATTCAGATCTTCTCCCCTGAGTCCTTCCTTCCTTCTCGTGAGGTGGCCAAAGTCTTTGAGTTTCATCTTCAGGATCTGGCCTTCTAAAGAGCAGTCCAGGGTTGATCTCTAGGACTGACCGGTTGGATGGCCTTGCAGTCCAAGGGACTCGCAGAAGTCTTCTCCAGCACCAGAGTTCAAAGGCCTCCATTCTGTGGGTGCTCAGCCTTTCTTATGGTCCAACTAATTACCAGGCTGTAAAAAGAGACGGTGGGGGAATTGGTACATTCATACTCTCAAACTAATCTTGTTAATCTTGTACAGTACAGTACAGTGCAGCCATACGGTAAAGCTGAGTTAGCACATCTGGTATGTGTTTCATCTCTGGTTTTCTTGGAAAGGCTGAGACTAGATGACCCTTAAGGGACGGCTCTCTCTCCCATTGGCTACTCTCTGTGTTTCACAAGATTGTTGTTTTTTGGAAAGGAACAGAGGAGGGAGAGAAAACTGGGGAAGCTAGAAGTAGGCAAGAACAATAGCGTGGGACTACGTCCAGGGTCTGCGTTAAGCAATGTAAGTGAGCGGTTGTTCCCCAGATGTTTATGGAGACTCTCAGTCATCCAGGTCATAGTTATCCCAAAGGTGCTTTTTTTTTCAAGAGGCAACTGGACATTCTGGTTTTTCTTTGAAGGCGTTTTGTTTTTCTCACCCAAGAAGCTTCTTCAGCTCTGACAGGATGGTGGGGAGTGGAAGGATTTATACTCTTTGCAGTCAGCTGGTTATTTGCATTCTTTTAGAGGGTCATTGAGGCCACCTGAAGGTTTGTCTCGTGTCCTCAGGGTCACCTGAGTAATGCAAATGACCAGCAGTCTGCAAGGAGTATAAACCCTTCCCTGCTTCACCATCAAGTCAGAGCTGAAGAAGCTTCTTGGATGAGAAGCGAAACATCTTCAAAGAAAAGCAAGAAAGTCCAATTGACTCTTGAAAAAAAAATACCCTTGGCTTCACAGAAAACCAGGACGTGCTGGCTGACTTAGTCACTTTCCTTCTGTAAGAGGCACCCTGGTGCCAAGGTGACTGCCCTACGCGAGGGAAGAAAAGACCCAGATTCAGCCATGAAAGTTCACAGGGTATCTCTGAGCCAGCCACCCCTCTCGCCCCACTCTGCTGCTGAGGATTGTTGGGTGGGGGGAGAAAAACAGGAGAAAGGAGTAGGTCACCTTGAGCTCCTCAGCCACAAGAGGGGTGCCAAGTCCAAAATTATATTAAGAAGAAGAGACAGGTAATCTGGCTGCAAGCCACCTTCTCCTCGCATCTGGGCTGTCAAGCCTTCAAGATCTTCTACTATTGCTTTGCATCTTTTGGCTGCCATAAGTAACGGGGGGAGGAGGGGGTAAAGTCTGGGAAGCGAGCTGGAGGTGTTACATTCTAGTATTGTAAAAATGAGGAGTGGGGGGGAGTATAAATTCCTGTTTAGGTTTCTATTTCTCGCTTAGCTTTCTTTTCTCCGCGCAGCTGCAAACCTTTATCAAAATATGCCAAGGTCAACGGACAGAGGCCTCATCACCACCTGAAGATGCCCACATGATCATGTTCACAACTTTTAATTGGAAGAATCATTTGAACTATGGGGGGTGGGAACATTTCCATCACTTTGTATATGTGATCTGCGCGCCTAATTTCTCAGATTCAGAATTCTACGGTTGCTACCACTTCATTTTTAGTAAAAGACATCTTTTCTCTAATCTATGGAGTCTTAAATATTTCTTTCTTGAATTTGGAATGGAGCACTACCTGACATGGGCAGAATCTGGGTGAGGATATGTTGAAGATCGTGGCTTGCTGGGAATGATAGACATTAGAGTCCCCCCTTGGGGCAGGGGTTTCGATAGGCCGGGGACTTCCTGTTTTCCTGTAGAGATAATGTAGTTGGTAGGAGTTGAAAAGGGCTTGATGACTCACAATCAGTCAATCATTCTTTCTTCTAACCTATTTCCCGATTTTTCTAACATTACCCCTGATTCTCATAGCATCGCTTTGATCCCCATAGAGAGTACAGCAGGTGATCTCGATTAAAAATGGGCAACATCTATTGCTTGGGAAGTGAAACATTCTAATTGTGAAACAGACAGGCTCTTGTGGCCCACCAGCGGAGTTGGCAGCAGACTCAGACAGTGAGGAGGTTGGGGAGGAACACATCGTGGAGTCTGGGGAAGGCTCTGCAGCAAAGGCAGAGATGGGGCCAGGGCTGTTCCGACAGTTATCAGCCGCCTTTGAAGTCAGAGATCAGTGGGGCAGAAGAACAGCCGGAGCCTGTTCCCAGTGTGCGCATGCACAGAGCTGCCAGGAGAATGGAACAGTTAAGGAATAAGGGTTGACTCAGGAGTAAGGGCAGAGGTAGACGGTGAATGGCCCCTCCCAGAGGGAATGAAGAGGAGCGAAAGGGGAGTGGGGTTTGCAGGAGACCATTAGTTCCAATTCGTTAGGGTGAAGATCTGTTCCTGATTTCTTGCCAAGTAATTGCTGCTACAGCCTGGGGTTTGGGAGACATTGGCCTGGCAACTCTCCAAGCCTGATAAAGGTCTGTAGTTGTGAAATCTCACGAAAGACTATTTGCTGGAATTTTATTGGAGAGGAATTCACTTTGACCTAAATAAAAGGTGTTTTATTTATTCACAGAACTATAAGGAGGACAAGGAAGATAACAACATAATCATGTTTGCAAGACTCTGTTCTTTTGGCCGGTCCCAGTAAAAGCAGTTTTAAATCGGATTCTCTGGTTTTATTTTTTCAGAACTTCCGGCCAGCTGGAGGGTCCATCTTGCATAACCCCGGGGCTATGTTGTAAGTACCACTGCACCTTCTGGGGGGGGGGAGGTTGCCTTGGGGGCAGAAAGGAGATGTTTCCTCTCTGTGTCACATCACCGAAAGCAAAAGCCTCTTTCTCTCCTCCTGCAGTGAGTACGGAAACCAAAGATACGAAGTCAGCCACGTGCACAAGGTGGAGTGCGTGGTACCCTGGCTGAACGACGCCCTCGTTTTCTTCACCGTCTCGCTGCAGCTTTGCCAGCAGCTCAAGGATAAGGTGAGGTGAATGGGGAGACAGTGTTTTTAACAGATTGTTAGAGTTGGAAGAGACCTTGTAGATCATCTAGTCCAACCCCTCGCCCAAGCAGGAGACCCTACACCATTTCTGACCAATGGCAGCCAATGGCAGCCCAGTCTATTCTGGAAAGCCTCCAGGGATGAAGCTTCCACAACTTCCGAGGGCAACTTCTGTTCCATGGGTTGATTGCTCTCACTGTCAGAAAATCCCTCCTCATTTTCAGGTTGCATCTCTCCTTGATCAGTTTCCATCCATTATTCCATTATGGCCTCCAGGTGCTCTGGAAAATAGCTTGACTCTCTGTGGCAGCCCCTCAGATATTGGAAGACTGCTATCATGTCTCCCCTGGTCCTTCTCTTCCCTAGACTAGCCATGCCGAGTTCCTATAACCATTCTTTATATGTTTTACCCTCCAATCCCCTAATCATCTTGGTTGCTCTTCTCTGCACTCTTTCTAGAGTCTCAACATCTTTTTTATAGTGGGGTGACCAAAACTGGATGCAATATTCTTACTAAAGATTTATAGAGTGGCATCAGTACCTCACTTGATCTTGATTGTATCCCTCTGTTAATGCAATTTGAAGGATGTGTTTTGCTTTCCTAGCATATATCCTTTAAATAAATAAATGTAGGACAGCTCCGGGAATCAGCACTATGTGCAAAACATCCTAAATTTGATCTGCAGCCTTTTAAAAAAAAGACATCAGCATATATGCTGATAGTGTTAGAAAGAGGAAAGGTCACATTCAGGCATAAAGCAGAAATACAATAGTATGTGGGAAAGACCTTGGGAGGATCTTCGCAGAATCAAAATTACGTAAAGTATTAGTACAGCTTTATAAAACCTTAGACAACACCTGGAATACTGCATCCAGTTTTGGTCCTCACATTACAAAAAAAAGAGGTTGAGATTTTGGAAAAAACGCAGAGAAGAGCAACTGAGATGATTAAAGGCCTGGAGACTAAAACATAGGAAGAACGGTTGCAGGATTTGGGTATGGCCAGTCTAGAGAAAAGGACTAGGGGGACATGATATTCCAGTATCTGAGGGGCTGCTGCAGAGAAGAAGGGGGGTCAACCTATTCTCCAAAGCACCAGAAGGCAAAAGAAGAAACAATGGATGGAAACTAATCCAAGAGAGAAGCAACCTGGAATTAAGGAGAAATTTCGTAACAGTGAGGACAATTAACCAGTGGAATGGCTTGCCTTCAGAAGTTGTGAATGGTCCATCATTGGAGGTTTTCAAGAAGACACTAGACAGCCACTTGTCTGAAATGGTATAGGTTCTCCTGGGGTTGGACTAGAAGACCTCCAAGGTCCCTTCCAGCTCTATTCTGAATTGAACTGACTGGACCAGGAGGTGATGCCAAGGGAATGGTCAGATAGGAGACAGCATAACCTGCAGTTTGGATAATGGGCCAGGCAAGAAGCTCAGGAGAGACTCTCCCTGGGCTCTAAAGGAGACCAGAGCGAGAATGGTACTTGCAGATTTGCAACATGGATGTTGGCTTTGGGGGTAAACCAGACAGAGAGTTCTAACCAGGTGAGTTTAACTGTACTTTTGCTGTATTAACAGAACCTTTGCAAGCCTGGAAGTACAATCTCACCCCTTTCCCCCATCTCCTTTACAACCCAGAAACTAGGGAGGGTCTCTTCTGAACCTATTGCTCTGCCCACTCTCCACTTGAGGGCTTCACTGTCTCATATCTGACCGTTCCTTTGGCGGTGTCTCTCTGACGGTCTTTTCCGCATACCATTACAAGGTGTGGTCAAAATAAAAAGTCCAGATGGTGGCTGGGATTGTGCGATGAACACCCAACACCCAAACACACACACACACACCCAACACACAAACACACACACACACACACTGGTTGCCCCAGGCAGCCATTATTGTGACTTTGCTGATGAAACCCCACAGACACCCGTGTGTAAAGCAATGCCAGATAATTATGAACTGTTGCAAAGCCAAGAGCCATTGTCTTATCAACCAAGTTATCCAGTTATCAGTCGCTTCCATAACGTTGTTGATAAGAACGCGGAGAAAAGACAAAAAATTGTGCCGGGAAAGAGAGGGGATGCTGCATCTTTGGCAATTTAGCCTGCACTTTCCATGTCTTAGCCCAGTGCCACAATGTAGAGCAGGGCTGTCAAACTCCTGGCTTGCGGGCCAGATGCCTCACGCGCTGGCCATGCCCACGCCCGGTTTAGCGAAGGGGGGGGAAAGTCACATGACACTGCCGTGACTACATGAGTTTGACACCCGTGATACAGAGGAACAAAAGATTTGCCAACTAAAAAAGATACTCTTTTTGGTCTTTTTAGCTGCCAGAAAAAGGGAGTGGGGGAAAACAAGGCATTCCTTAAATGCGTAGATAATCACTGTGGCAGCCCAAAGTTGTCGGAGCATAAGAGGGTTATTGGAGAGCATGATGGATGACTCTTGGAGGTGGATGTGTCCCATTGGAGAAGTCACATCCAGGGGGTGAGGGGAAGACCAGGATCAAGGGGGAAATGTATGATGTAATTTAGTATCAGCTACACCCAGTTAAACGCCAACATAGCCATTTCTAATAAATCAGTTTTCTCTGAGATGTGGCTAGAGACTTGATTTGAATGGGTGTGTGTGTGGATTTATTGGAACCCTGACAAGATTCCCTTTTGACCCATTCAGAAAAACCAAGGTTCTTTGCCTAAAAAACAAGGCAGAACCAGTGGTGGGATTCAAAAATGTTTACTACTGGTTCTATGGGCATGGCTTGGTGAGCGTGGCATGGCTTGGTGGGCGTGGCAGGGGAAGGCTATACTACACAATCCCCATTCCCTCCCCACCCCACTAACCTGCTTTCCAGCTCCGTTCTCCTGTGCAGGGCAACCAAAGGAGACCCAGCCGATCAGCTGGGACTCAATGGGAGGCAGAGAAGAGATGGGGTTGGCAGGGCCAGTCAGAGGTGGGATTTGCCAGTTCTACGAACTCCTCAAAATTTCCGCTACCGGTTCTCCAGAACTGGTCAGAACCGGCTGAATGCCACTTCCTTTTTTGGAAATGCTGACTGGGGGATAACGTTTCCCATTACAGATTTGACTCTACCGAAGAACTGGAGCAAACCCCCCTATCGCCCGCCAACTTTCGATCTCCTTTTTGTGTTCTTCTTTCCCCACCCCAGATCGCTGTGTTTTCCGGCTACTGGAACTACCGGCCCTACTGATTTTCCCTCCGAGAGCGGTTCCGGTCCGTTTTCAGCCGCTCTCTTCCCTGTGAAGGGAATCTCACGATATAAACGGTATAATCTGTGAAGAACATCCCAGATTTCTGCCGCTCCGTGGGTAGTAGTAGCTGATGGGCAGGAAGCCATGGCCGCCCTCCACATCTTCGTAGTAGTCGGAATGTCATTATTTATTAGCACTTTAGAAGTAAACGTTCATTTCTTTCCGCGGGCATCAAAGCTCAGCTGAGCCAATATAAACACTGGTCAAACTGCACCCCGTTGGAAGGGGGGGGGGAAGTGGTTTCAAACAAGAGAGGGGGGTGATGAAGAGCAGCCTTTGCTGACCCTGCCTTGGGCTTGCCTCAGAAAGACCAACTACGGCGTGGGTCGCAGTTTGTCCCTCTCTTGGCAAATCCTTATCACGTCTTGGGTTCTGTTCTCCCTCCAGCCTGCCTCTTCTCTAGCCTTTGGCACCCACAGTGACGGTTCACTTCCATAATGTCGCGTTTGAAAAGCATTCAGGGACAGCTGGCGGTTTTGGAGGGCGGGATTTAGAAATCCCAGCAACCAGTTCGCGGCCCAGTCGCTGGGTGTGGCAGGCAGGGGGTGTATAGTGGGCAGGGCCTACTGGAACTTCCGGGAGGCCCGTTTTTCGCCTTTCCAAGGGTCCGGAGGCTTCCCTCAGGCCTTTGGGAAGGGCAAAAAACAGCCTCCCCCGGGCTCTGGAGGCCCTCCGGAAGCAGGAAACAGGCCCGTTTCCCAACTTCCGGTACTTCCAGGAAGGCTGTTTTTCGCCCCTTCCACAGTCTCCATGCGGATCCTGCACTTATTTGCATCCAAAACGGGCCCCGTGGAGACTCCTGCAAGGAATACTGGTTCGACAAACCAAATGCAAATTTAACATCCGGTTCGTCCAAACCGGTCCAAACCGGTAGAATCCCACCCCTGGGTCACACACACACACACACCCCATTTTGTAAAAGCATAGAGACACTGCTGCTTCCTCAGTTCTTCCAGAGAATCTTTGCCGGCCGCCAAACAGTAGACAAGACCAAGGTGGCCTTGGTAACCAAGTTAGTTGCTGCTATACATAGATGAACCCTACTCCTCGCTCCTAATATTGTGTCTGGAATAAACCTCCCTGATTATTGTGGTTCGTGGCTTGGTGTTTTTGGAGGAGAGCCTTTTGACACCGGATTTTGGGAATTTGGGAGAGGTTATGGGACATGCATGAGAGATGGAGAAATGGAATGAATTGGAATTGGTTCCAGAAATTCAGCCTTCCGCCAAAACGACCCAGAAGTCCATTTTCTAGGGAAGGATCCAGGTTCTTTATCCACGCCGGGTTAATATTTTTTTAATCACGTGCAAAAAACAGATTCCCCTTCTGTTGGGTCTATTAAATTTTGGGTAAAAGGGAAACATCAAAACAAACTCCTTTTAAACTTCAGTCCCTTACACAGCCATCTAAATTTATTCAACCACAACTAGAAAGTCCCTCTACACAATAAGAGATTCACAATAACCAAGAGACTACATTTTACATCGAAAATTAGGACACCAATCTTGGAAAAGTTACAAATCTGGGATATTAGAACGAGAAGATATAAAGCAGCAAGGTCCAATCTTGGTAACGTTTTAAGACTTGTGGACTTCCAACTCCCAGAATTCCCCAGTCATGCTGGTTGGGGAATTCTGGGAGTTGAAATCCACAAGTCTTAAAAGTTGCCCGACTTAGACACCCTCGGTGCAAAGCATCCTGAATTGATTTTTAAAAAACACATTTTCAGTATTACAAAGAGGATAATGTTATACCAAGCTAGTACACGGTCTGGACTGCTTCTATAGAGAAATCCAATCTAGGACGATAAAAGCAGCCCATCTCAATAACAGATTTATTGGATCTTTTTTTGGTTGCTGTCAGCATTTGATGGGACTAAGATGGCCAAAGTAGACCCCTTGTGATTCCATTTTTAAAGCACATGCTAACAAACCCAACTGGTAGACCCACAAGATAAAAGAGTTTGGCAAAAGAGGATTATCATTGTTCATGGACTAGGTATTTCATTATCTCTTTCCTTGTTACTAATGATCAGAAGGATAGTTGCCAACGGTGAGAGTGGCTGAATTGTTCGCCCCAACTTATGGCACACAGACATGGACTAAGAATCATCGTAGGAGCATCTAAGCCTCATGAGGGCTCACCTGTCCCACAGTTCCTTCCAGAAGAAATCCGATTTCTTACAAAAAAATTCCAGCACAGCAGAGAAAAATCAGTTAAAGCCGGCTGCTCAGACGATTGGTCATATGGCGTCTATGGCTCCATGCCCCTATTGTCAATACCAACTTTCCTTTTCTTGACCTGTTAATGGAAGAGCATGATGTTTATGGAATCTCAGGAAAAAGAGCATTATATGGTAAAAGGCAAATTTGTCCAATGGGAATTGCATTTATTCACTCTTAGGCTAAGCCACAATTCCATTCCAGAATTGGTATCTAGTCAAATTTTGTTAGAACAAGAAAAGGCAGCTTTTAAGTTTGTCCCACCAACAGATTTTGTTCCCCGAGGTCCTCTTAACTCATTGTTGGGTTGGTGTCGAAGCTGCACTGCACCCTAGTCTTTCTGAATTTTTTTACCCCTTTGTATGGAGAAAAAAGAGGACTACACATAGCACTCTTTTTTTAAAATAATAATTGTATGCTACTGTTGAAAGGCTGTCAAAATGCCTTTCTTCTGAGGATTCGATTTTCCCGCTGGGAGAGCTCCAGTGCAAGGATACAGACAACTGCTTGAAAGCTGGATCTTTTTTATTTTTCAGGAAGGCAAGAGATAGCAAGAAGTCTGCGTTCCTGGGCTAGCTAGCTTCGTATGATAAGTCCCTGATTTTTTATACCTTTTCTCCTTTTGTGTGTGTGTGCTTGTGTTTGTATTTCTTAATGTTTTAAATCCTGTCAGGGGTTGTCTTCATTTCTGCCGGAGGGTAAACTTTCAACACTACCCATCTCACTATCCAAAGCAACTTATGATGCACTTTGGGGGGATGAAAATATGGCAAAGTTTTTACAAGCAAAACTGAAGAAACGATGCCTTCTGAAAGTTGGTTTCTCAGAGGACCCTGGCATTGGAAAGGATCATTTAGATCTGTGCATTTTCATCTCTGCTCAGACAACAGTGTTAATTCCAGCATCTCTGATGGACCAATGGTCCAATTTCTGCTGAAGGAGGACTTCCTATCCTCTGAGGGGATGCGGGGAGAGAGAAACCACCCTCCCAAACTGGGTCCCATCATTAAATGTGCAACTCCAGGGCCAGACCTGGCTGAAGCGGCTTACCTTCTTGTATGAACTGGGAGCATCACAATCACAGCAGCAACATCGGATCAACGCAAGGAGTCCCAGCAAGAGAACCATCCCTGATATGGGGAAAAAAAAATACGGATCGGTCCCTGAATGGCTTTTCTCTCCATCCTGGTTTCCATCACACAGAACATAGAATCATAGGGATGGAAGGGATCTTGGAAGTCTTCTAATCTAACCCCCTGCCTATCAGAGGTTACCCTATCCCATTCTGGACAAATGGTTGTCCATTCTCTTATTAAAAGCCTCCAGAGATGGAGCAACCACAACCTCTGCAGACAAGTTGTTCCCCTGGTTAATTGTTCTCACGATCAGGAAAGTTCTTCCAGATTGAATCTCTTTATAATAACCTTCCACCCATTGCTTCTTGCCCTGCCTTTCTGGTGGTTTGCAGAATAAGTTCAAAATACAGGTAAGATTAACAGAGTTGGAAGGGATCTTGTAGGTCATCTAGTCCAATCCCCCGCCCAAGCAGGAGATCCTACATCATTTCTGACAAACGGCAGTCCAGTCTCTTCTTGGAAGCTTCCAGGGATGAAGCTCCCACAACTTCTAAAGGCCACTTCTATTCCATTAGTTGATTGTTCTCACGGTCAGAAAATGTCTCCTTATTTCCAGGTTGAATCTCCCTTGTTCAGTTTCCATCCATTATTCCTTGCCTGGCCTTCAGCTGCCTTGGAAAATAGCTTGAACCCCCCCTCCTCCTCTCTGTGGCAGCCCCTCAAATATTGGAAGACTGCTATCCTGTCTCCCCTGGTCCTTCTCTTCCCTAGACTAGCCGGGCCCAGTTCCTGCAACCGTTCATATTTTAGCCTCCAGTCCCCTAACTGTCTTGGTTGCTCTTCTCTGCACTTTTTCTAGAGTCTCAACATCCTCATCATTAAGTTACTCCCCCCTTTCTCTGTGGCAGTCCCTCCAATATTGGAAGACTACTATCATGTCACCTGTAGTCCTCTCCATTAGACACTAGACATACCTAGGGGTGGGATTCAATTTTTTTAAACAACTGGTTCTGTGGGCGTGGCTTAGTGGGCGTGGCTTGGTGGTCATGTGACTGGGTGGACGTGGCTTGGTGGTCATGGTATTGGCTGGGCGTGGCTAATTCAATATCACTCACATCGAGGCACGCCTCTCCTCGCCTGGCCTCTCATGACTGTGGGGATGCTGCAACAGTCATAAGTGTGAAAAATGGTCATAGGTCACTTTTTTCAGTGCCATTGTAACTTTGAATGCTCACTCCACACAAGCAAAGTACCAGCAAAGGAGGGGAAAAAAACTCCAGAAAGGTTCCTGAGACAGGAAGTCTAGTCCTGCCAAGAATGTAATAAGGGTTAACAGAGAGGCAGTTTCTGTAAGCAACACCAGAATGTTTCCTTCCTGCCTTCCTTACAGGATTAGACCAGTAATTTCTTCTAACAACCGGTTCTCCGAACTGCTTAGAATGTTAACAGTCGGTTCTAGTGAATAGGTGCCAACTGGTAGAATCCCACCCCTGGACATACCTAAACAAAGAAGCTATAGATATTGAGATACTGCTGAAGGATGCTGGCGAAATAGTTTGCTTTATGGGCAGCTTTTCTTGTGTAGGAGGTTTTTCTCTTCCATTGATCTACTTTGTGCCTGTTTGGCTCCACCAAGCTAATTCGTGACTTCGTTGCTCTTGTTTCTTCCTAAATCCCTGCTTACACTCTCCTGGGAAGGTGCCGTCTTTCTTCGAAGGACCCAACCCTCTCAAACCATTTGCACCATGCGGGGGCCCCCCCAAATGAGCAACTCCTGAAGCAGGGTGGCTGCCCACCCAAACCCTTCCTCTCTCTCTCTCCGCCTACCGATGAAGGTGAAGAAGATGGCAAAAGCCACGATATCCCAGGTGGTTTGGAAGAGCTGCTTGCTTTGCAGGCGTCCCAGAGCATCGCTGATCTGCTGGCTGATGTCTTCAGCCACATCTCTGCCTGGAGTCCCCATCTCACGCCCTGCGCGCACCTGCAGCAATTCCGTCGGAGCTGCCAAGAGTGGAAAAACAAGACGGTCAACCCAAACGCCGATTTCTGCGAATCCCGGAAAAGCATTCAAGTTCAATCGTTGACGCATGATGAAAGGTTTGTTACAAGACCGGAAGGGGAGAAGGAAGGTCAGGCTACATCTGAATGGAAAGAGCCAACTTCACGTGAAAGAGTGTGCATGCTTGTCCCGCTTGTCTTAGAATACAGAATAACAGCCGGAAGAGGCTTTAGGGGTTAGAACAGAAGGGAGAAAGAGTTAGAATAGAATAGAGCTGGAAGGGGCCTTGGAGGTCTTCTAGTCCAGCCCCCTGCTCAAGCAGGAGATACCATTTCAGACAAGTGGCTGTCCAGTCTCTTTTGAAAAACCTCCAGCGATGAAGCACCCACAACATCTTTCCACTGATTAACTGTCCTTACTGTTTCTCTTTAATTCCAGTTGCTTCTCTCCTCAATTAATTTCCAACCATTGTTTCTTGTCCTGCCCCTCTGGTGTTTTGGAGGTCTTTTAGCCCAACCCCCTACCCAAACAGGAGACCCTATACCACTCCAGAGAAATGGTTGTCCCTTCTCCTCTTAAAAACCTCCAGTGATGGAGCATTCACAACTTCTGGAGATTAGACATCACACTGATTTATTACTGTCACTCTCAGGAAATTTCTCTTTGGATCTAAGCTGGATCTCTCCTTGATCTGTTTCCATCAGTTACTATTTTTCCTGCTCTCGGGTGCTCTGGAGAACAGGTTGACCCCCACCCTTCTTCTCTGTGACAGCCCCTCAAAGTGCTGGAAGACACTGTCATGTCCCTCCTAATCATGCCATCCTTTCCCCCAAGTTTTCAGTTCCTCCTGCGGCCCCCCATACCTGCAGATTCCTCCTTTAACACCAACAAAGCTTCAAAATGAACAACCCACATTCATTCCTCAAGTTCCCTTTACCTGCAATGGATTCCCCTTTGTCTCCCCAGGAGTTAAAAGCTCCAACGCCTGGCAGTGAACTCCAGGGGAAAGTTTCCTTGGAGGAGGAAGTTGGGAGGGAGACTCCGAGAAAACGCCTTGCAAAAGAAACGCACCAACCTAGGAAAGAAAGGAATGAGTTAAATAACTACCCACCACTCTTCAACTCCTGGGAAATCTTGGTCAAAAATAATAATAATCTGCAACTCTTTCTTGGACAATTTTTTTCCTGTGGTGACTATGGTGATAAGTTCTTCTTTTTGTTATTTTCACTTCCTTGTTCCCGTTTCTGCTTCAGCAAGAGGTTGATTTGCAACAGAGCCCAAGGTAGACACACCCTCTTCTCACAGCCTAGGAAACAAAGAAAGGAAAAAGAGGAGGATCTAAAGGTGGACTGCTAATCAGAGCAGCTCTATTGACACAATAGTCTTCTTTAGGATCACCATGGCTAGCTGGGGAATTCTGGGAATTGAAGTCTTCTCATCTTAATGCTGCCAAGATGGAGAAACACCTGTTTTAGACATTCTCTAGCTCTTAGCTGCCACTTAAGGATCCTCTAGATCAGAGGTCTCCAATCTTGGCAACTTTAACCCTGGTGGACTTCAACTCCCAGAATTCCTCGGCCAGCAAAGGAATTCTGGGACTTGAAGTCCTCTAGGCTTCAAGTTGCCAAGGTTGGAGACCCCTGCTCTAGATCTTCAACCTTGGAAACTTTAAGACTTGTGGACTTCAATTCCCACATCGGTTGGAGAATTCTGGGAGCTGAAGTCCACAAGTCTTAAAAGTTGCCAAGTTTGGAGACCTCTGATCTAGATTTCAGCAGGTCAGACCAAAGGTATCACCAAGACCCCAAAATTACCCCTAATGTATTCAAGGAAACCTTGTTCTGGGCTTGCACGACAAAAATGAAGTAGGCTAAAGTGTGGGTTGTTGGTTTCTACTTTAGAGTGTTGTGTGAATTGTGGAACCTTCTAGGATGATGTTTTTCAAACTTGGCCACTTTAAAAGCTGTGTGGACTTCAACCCTCAGAATTCCCCAGCCAGCATGTTGGCTGGGAAATTCCTGGAGGTTGAAATCCACACATCTTTTAAAGTGGCCAAGTTTGGAAAACAGTGTTCTGAAAAATAATTAAACTTCTATTTGCAAAGTTATGCATTAGCTCATCCCAGCATGGAGCTGTAACAAATCCTGCCTGGCAAATACATCTCCTTTGCATTTCCAAAGAGCTGGTTCTCATTTGCCTATTAAAACAAAACAAAACATTGGAAGTTGCATGTGAAACATTTTCATCCCAGCACAGTAAATGTAAGAATCAGGAAGAAAAATGTAGGTTTGGTTATGGAAACGTCCAGCAGGGGGCGATGTTGCATTATTTATCATGCAAAGAAATTCTCTGCAAAGGTCATTTTTTATGGGTAGGTTCACATTAACAAATTAACAGAATTGGAAGGGACCTGATAGGTCATCTAGTCCAATCCCCCAACGAATAGATATTACATCAAATCATGTGTAATTGGGGGGACTGTAAAGGATAGATACACTGTAGGGATTCTGTACTTCCTGGGCCTTCTTTCTAGATCAGGCATCCTCAAAGTTTGCAACTTTAAGACTTGTGGGCATAGCTGGCTGGAGAAATCTGGGAGTTGAAGTCCACAAGTCTTAAAGTTGCCAAGTTTGGAGACCTCTGTTCTAGATCTAGCAGGATCCTTGTGTACCTTGCATGGTCCCTTCCTAAAATTTCATTTCTGTACCTCATTTTTACTGATTGTAACACAATTGCTTTTGTGCAGGCTCTCTAGGGCAACGTTTTTCAACCTTGGCAACTTCAAGGTGTGTGGACGTCAACTCCCAGAATTCCCAAACCAGCAACTGTGAAATATCCACAGCAAATAAAAACAAATATAGAAGAGAGAGAGAGAGAGAGAAAAAAAAACAAGAAAGGAAATGAAAGAAGAAAGAAAACATACAATTGTGCCTTCCTCCCTTCTTCCTTTAGTTTAATGAAGGGGTGACATGATAGCAGTGTCCTAATATCAGGGGCTGCCCCAAAGAAGAGGGAGATTAACTTATTCTCCAAAGCACCTGGAGGGCAGGACAAGAAGCAATGGGTGGAAACTAATCAAGGAGAGAAGCAACTTAGAACTAAGGAGATATTTCCTGACAAGTCAGAACAATTAATCAGTGGAACAACTTGCCTCTAGAAGTTGTGAATGCTCCAACACTGGACATTTTAAAGAAGGGATTGGATAACCATTTGTCTGAAGTACTGTAGGGTTTCCTGCCTAAGCAGGGGGTTGGACTAGAAGACCTCCAAGGTCCCTTCCAACTCTGTTATTCTATTCTATTCTATTCTATTCTATTCTATTCTATTCTATTCTATTCTATTCTATTCTATTCTACTCTACTCTACTCTACTCTACTCTACTCTACTCTACTCTACTCTA